ACAATCCTAAAGGTCACTGGAGTCACGATGGCATATAAATAAGTTGTGGTAAAATAATGAATAATTTTGTGTAAATGTAAACATATTGTAGTCACATTTGATTGCAAGGAATTCTAACTTCAACAAGTAATTAGATAATACAATGATGTATGATGAATGCGGTATGATTCACAATGCAATTGATGTTCAAGAAAATAGAAGTATTATTGAAGACGTAATTTAAACATCTCACTGCAGTGTATGATTGCAATGAATACTCGTATTGTAGTAATGAAGGACGCTAATGTGATCAAAAACATACCAAGTAATAAAACCAATATACTCATGAATATGAGGCCTTAATTTAAATTGAAACTAGTCGAGTTCTTTTTCAAACAGTTGCGTGATTAAACAGGTGAACTTATTACTTAATTTAGTATGTCTCACGAAAGTTACCTACAATACAAATAATCAAATATACTTTTCACCAAAAAACCATTCTTGAACGGCAAAGCTACATGGCGTATTTCTACAATATTTCTATGCACTAACCGCCGTAATCAGATTCAAATAATGGCTACTTAGACAAGTTCTAGTAGACAGAATGCGGTCTGTCTCAGCAATGGTTTTTGAAACAAAATCGTTACCAAGGAATAGTTTAAGTAATCATTAAATGTCTCTGAGTATCGCAGTAAGAAAGCTATCTTTTTCTTGAAAGTATGCTTAATTTTGAACTTTGTTCACATAAAAAAACAGATAGTTTTTTAATAAACCTGTCATGACTTCGCATTCGATTATTAACTTTTCGATGAAACATTTATCTATAGGAATATCAAAATACCTAATTTGTCCGATGAAAAAATCTCGTGAAAAGACTAGACAGACTAATAGTCTATCTAGTCTGTAAAGGCATCCGCTATTATTAAATTTTGAGCTATTCAAGTATATGTCAGTGTTTATGAGTCACACAAAAACGCAAAATTGTACAACTAAACTTTTTGTATAAAATTGAAAGTTTTAGGGGGTTAAAAAAAATACGTCATGTTTCAGTACTAACAAACAATATGAAAGTATTTAAGTGATGGGTAGATAAGAATAGAATTGTTTTTTGTAACAGAGTAAAATCTCAAGACAATCTTCCAAGTTCGTCAGTAACTTAAAGGAACATTAAACTACAAAAAATCCAAATGGATCTAATAAACTATTTTATGGTGAAGGTGTCGATTTTTAATTGGTCATAATAATCAATAATAACGCTGAGGTATAAAACTTAACAAATCAAAGATATTTTTCAAAAAGTCTTTAAAACTGATAAATAACAAATCTTAAGAGTTAAAGGTACCTGAACCGAACGAAATCAGAACAATATCAGAGGAGATGAAAGGGAGACAACTCTAAAAAAACTAGATATCGATAATCTCCACGGCGAATGTGCAACCACAAACAGCTATTTAAAAACTATAAAAATAAATGACACTCATTAACATGAGTGTTTGGTCCATTGTGCCGCGACAATGGTCCTTGGCGTCTTACAGGACCACTATAATGACATCGCATTAGTAAAATGTCAAAACAGAAAGGACACACTCGAAGACGAGCGCTTGAAGTAAATTTTTGAGGGTTACAAATTGGAGGCAATTTGTTAATTCTTTCTTGTGCGCCGCGAACGTTTAATACATTTTAAAAGTTTTCGCATTGATTGTACACAATAGTACGATTAATGTGTGCGTATTAGTCTTGTAGAAATGTGTATTTTATATTCATTTGTACGTCATTAACCGCTTTTAAGTTGTACTTTTGATACATCATGAGGCGTATTTTTTATGTTAAGTCGACTTTAATATTCGTATCTGTTTATAAATGCTTTTATTGAATGTGCCAATTGCAACACACGTGCTGAATATCTTTCGCGTTCCTATATTCCACTTTTTTTCATCAGATTTTTTGGGTTATATCACTTTATTGTTAGGATTGAATTGATTGTATTTTACTTGCGTTGTTTTTTCAGTTCATTTTAAATGGTTGACATAATTATCTTGGGTGTAGATAAATTTCATTGACTACTTACAACATTTACATTTTCATTGTTTATTAAAGGGGTTTATTAAAATTTAGAACAAGGCGATTAAAATATGTAGCTTAAATGAAAATAACGACGTCACGCAGCCGAGTCTCCGTGTCCACGCAAGCTGGTCCTGAATAAGAGTCCCATCGTGATGCGAGACAAGTAGAGCTTCTTTCAGTCAGTTTGTGAGTAAATCGTTATTTACAAATTATTTACTATGCCTCACAATAGTCATGAAAGAAAATATATAGCAGTATAGACATAAGACAAAAATTATAACAGAATGCCCATATCAAATAGATGTAACAGAAGACTGCTAGATCTATCTGCTCTAACAGTATTTACTCTGTATTCTCTGACCTGTAAAATTACATGTAACACATTCTTATGTATATCTAAATGTTACAGGTCGTGTGATGACAGCCGAGTAGAATACATTTAATTTGTCATCTCCCGACACTACCGGGCCGACACATTGACAACGACAAGCCAACAGTTCTGATAAACCTGAACCTTTTAAACTGTGATCAGCAAACCGATTGGGCTCTTGATGTTGATGTATTATGTTTCTGATAATTTTGTATAACAGGTACGATGTTCTATAGGTACAGTTTCTTGATAATGTGTAAGACTATAGAACATACACGTTGTATGTAACAGAACATAACATCACGTATTTTTATCCCCGAAGGGGTAGGTAGAGGTGCACATTACCCACTTTTCACTATTTATGTTACGAGCCACATGTAACAGGGGGTGAGCCTATTGCTATATACCGGGCACAATATTCCAAACTCCGTGATACTACCAGATTTTTTTTTAAAACCCAGTAATACTTTTCCCTACCCAGACCCGGCAGTCGCACTTGCAACCACTTGGTCAACGAGGTAGTCAGTTTGTATGTTTATATGCTTATACTATATAGACAGTTATTGGTACTAAAAAGTACTGATATATGTTACTGGTACTACTACTGTAGTCTACCATAAAGCAGCCTTTTTTGAGGGGGGGAAATGATTTAAAGACTTCTGCAAACTTGCGTAAAGTGAGAGGGAGTATCAGATTCTCACTGACTAAAACTTCCCTGTTTCTACTCCTGCTTCAGATTCTATAAAGTAGCCTACAATCTGCTGATGCCTACAATAACTGCACGATTGGCGCGGTTACTGGGCAACCGGCTGCTGCGCAATGTGTCGTGGGTTCGATTCCTGCACGGAACAACTCTTTGTGTAATCCACAGATTGTTGTTCAGGGTCTGGGTGTCATGTGTATGTGAACTTGTATGTTTGTAAACGCACTTACGACACAGGATAAATGCCGAAAGTAGGGCAACGTTTTTATAAAAAAATCTGTATTTTGTTTGTTAAAAAGAGTACATGTTTAATATGAGTCGTGATAACAATTTTTAAACTTTGTATGAAGCAAAATAATGGTCGATCAACTTAATGATTGAGGCATTTCATAATTAGACTTCTAAGCAGCAGTAAGTAACTGATAAGCCAGTCTCCCTACTGCGTTCACCATTAGTTTTAATACACAATGTATTTACATATAACAACTGTAATAGTAGCTTTTGCAGCAAATTGTTACATGGATGCTGTCATTGATTTTATCACAGCTATAAAGGTTTTCCTACTATTGTATGCTCGCTCAATTGTATTCATTCAATACTGCTCAGCACACGGTAATTGCTATTTTGCGGATAAATAATAAAAATTACTATAAAATAAAGTGAAATATTTACAGTAATACTTAGCACAAAATTTAATACCCGAAGGGTTAGACAGAAGTCTTTAAAAATGTCAAAGTCAAAGTCAAAGCATTTATTTTCAAGTAATCCTTTGAAATGTCTAAAATTTAATTGTCCGGTCGTCTGTATGTCAATGAGGCTAGGCAGCGTGCTATGTATCTATTATCTTAAACAGTTCGTTTATTGGTCCTTTTCTATGAGAAAATGGAGCCTTTTGTGTCTCCAAGAGATAGTTAGGTGACTAGAGAGTAATAAGACTACGTTTTAATCAGGTGGCTACAAAATAAACTGATGGTTTCAATTACTATGTTTTCGGCTTACTCACGTCACTGTTTGCTGCTCATACATATGAGCCCGCCCCTTGCAGGGCTTGAAACTCGTTGAGTTCCTCGTAAACCGTTTTGCCAGTTTTGTTTTAAATTCCATGTAAAAGGAGATGAGTGAGTGAACCAATTGCCAAAAAAACGTACTTTTCCAGACTACGTACAATACGTATACGTACGTTTGGTATCTATGTAAATACGAAAATAAAGATTTATTTAAAACAGATACAGTAACATTTATTTGGTTTCCGAGCTGAAAAATGGTTACAAAAGATATTAGTTACTAATATTATTACTTTGAATATTTTGGATGTATAGCATGCCTGTTGTTATTTGTGCAGCCACGCCAAAACGGCTGTACAGATTCGAAAGGACCTAATATAGCACTAAAGTAATCTTATCTCTGGACCAATCTAGGTTTCTTTTAAATTAGAAATTCAATTCCAATGTCAAAAGTCGATCTCAGACCGAAGATTGTGATCAATTATTAATTGCGTACGTAAAAGATATTTTTTTATTTTTTTATAAAGATATTTATCCATGCGCCAAATGACAACTGTCAAAGACGTAACGCTTTGCTTTCTGTATGTTAGTACTAACAACAAGCTACTTGTATTACTGTTGCTAGCAACATTATGCTCGTCGTATTGTCATTCTAGTATCGAACCTTCTGTAATCAATGTTTTTCAGACCAACACAGTAGAACACAACTGCATATAATGCATTTTCCTTTATAATTGTCCAGATTTTAAACACATAAAAATCTATTAGAAAAAGAAAACAGCTTTGACTTAATTTTTTTTCAATATTTTGTTAGTTATATCTATTTGGCGAAAAAATGTAGTTAAACTATATTAAGAAACATGAAAATTTTAATACTTACAGGCACCAGCAACATGAATCTTCTTCATCCATGGATAAATTACCCTGTCTGTATTATCTGAACATATAGAGGAATCGTCATCTTCTACAGGTGGAGAATCTAGAAGAAGTCTTTCATCATCGAGCTCTGACCCAGGGGAGCCTTCTCGTCCCAAGGCATGCAGTTTTCTTCCTGCAGGTGCAGCCTCTTCAATATGTCTCTCTAGCCTTAAACCAAGTTCTGCTAAACCTGGAGCAGTGTCAGGGTTATGGGCTGGGTAGCCGTGGTCGGCGTCGGATGGATGCGACGGTTCTGGAGGCCTTGGAGGCGGGGCGACAGGTGGGTGCTGCGGTAATGGATGATAATACCCTCCATATCCATAACCTGTCCCAATTTGAACTGGGGCATATTGGTGCTGGTATCCGTATTGCAAATGTTGGTGTTGGTAATACTCTCCTGGGGGTATGTAATCTGCTTGGCTGTACTCCTCGGAAGGCGGGAATTTGGGATCCGGTTGAGGTTGGTACCCACCGTTGGTGAGAAATGAGCTCATGGTGGGCGTGGTCCTCTCCGCGCATCACCTCGCACACAAAACGCCTGTTAATATGGCTTCCATTCAATTTAACGACATTCTTTCAAACAGTATCCCTTGTTCTGTTTACAGCAGTCAATGATAACATGAAAGACATAAAGGTTAGATTATTCTGTTTATAAAATTTATATAAATAGCTTTATATAGCCATGAACTCAGGAACTAAGATAAATCCTTCAATGCTTGCATAGCTTGGAAGTATTTTCAACATAAATTGGCCATCCTTTCCTTTCTTTTATCATCACAGAAAGTGTAAAACCTCTTCATTGGAGAACAACTTACAGGGTATTATAGAATATAATGTTATTTATTTTAACAAACACTTATAAAATGTTTCGTCACAGTCTTGATTGCAATTTTATTCACTACTTTAATCATTTAGAATTAACGTTCAATATTCTTTCAAATTGTTATGAAGTCCACAAACCTTAAACTCAACGTCAGTTTTCTAATCTTCAGTTGTTATGATCATCACATTTATTAACACTGATATTTTCACTATCTACAGCGATTGTCCACTAAAAAACACTAACACAAACAAGTCAGTTCATTGCACAATTTTGATCGACAAAGTTTTAGAAGAGCATTATTGCAAAGTCATTTGATTTATCACTTTTTGATAATAAACAATGGTGCTGGAGGCGCGCTGTCCTGCAACATTTTGAGACAATATACACTGCCCAACACGCCAGCACACTCTGTCACTTTAAGAACTCCTATACATGTTCATCAATTTTTACATACCACCTTCCATTTTTAAGGCGGAGCTGTTCTTCTTGCTACTTGCTTTAAAACCAGTCAACAAAAATGAACCGTATAGAAGCGCAATAAGAGTTCATTTGACTTGTTCCGATCCTTAAAAGCAATAAGCTGCAAACATGCTTTTCCCCCTCCCGCCTATAAATATCCGAATAGGTGCGAAAGAAATAGACGCATAAATCGTTCGTCAACGTAGAAACCGGTCTTATATTGTCATCTCTTTCTACTAAGGCAGCTCTTGCATTCGAGTAAAAGAGTACAAAGATTTAAACGAACTTTACTATAGAAGAGATTAAGAAGCTGTTTAATAATAATACAGAACGAACATGGTCTCTGTTCGTAGCGACACGGCGGCGAGTTTTAAATATTTAATATGCAATTTCCTTTATTTTTCATTATTATACTGTTCATTATTTTAATGGACGACAAGTGAGATATAATTAGGTAGAAATTAATAGTTTTGATACAAACCGTGTACGGCCATCATACGGTCATTTGCATTTTAGTATCTGTCACTCATGGTCAACGTAATATTAATGATTTTGAGTGTTTAGTCTTGTTTTACGGTTTTACGTGTCAAAAATTAGTTAACATTATGTTTAGTGATAAAATTCATTTAAACTAACCGTCATTCCAGTAAACATAATGAACTTACCATTTTATTTGTCCATAAATTGCCAGTAAATGGATTCTTATTATATAGTTACTCGGAAAGTTGATAATTTTATAAATTAAACAGGTTCAAAAAGACGAACAACAACGAAGATGCGAAACAAACAAAGCTTTAGGATCAAAAAACCAAAATGTAAAACAATAAAATACAAAAACTAAACAATAACAAGAGAAGACTTAAAACAAGATATCTATCATAGGGATCACACGACAAATCCGATCAGTCCTTACGTTGTAAGAAAAAACAAAGCAATCACTAGTCATGGTACTATGATACCGTCTAAGCCACTAATACTACACTAAGACCCGACAAGGGAGCCGACTTGGACACCAAATAAACAAAAATGGTGATTTTATTGAATTAGATGATCACAATGGACCACGGTGGAGTTTTGCTGAGTCATCACAGCTCCCGGCCATGCTACAAAAGGTGGTAACACCCGATCAATGGATGTTTGATCAATAAATAGACGTGTATCTGGTCCGGTTCGGACCTTTTTTGATACTGATTCTGTTTTGTGTTACTTAGATTCTACATTCAGCTGCTGTACCTCTCTTTATTAGATGTTTGTAACGAGAAAGTTTTTGAATTACTTTAACATTAGAAAATATATAAAAATTTTTAGCGGTCGTTTCTTCTACACGTATCCTCGATAGCAGAAGCGAACTCTGCACATCTTTTGAAAAATGTATACCATTATATACGAACTATATCTCGAACTCTTTAAAACTTTGAGCTTCGTTGTAGGTGTTAAGAAACTTTTATGAATTCTGTTTCGTGGCCAAAGCGACAAATTCACCTTACACTGGGCAATATTGATAAAGTATGTTCACGTTTTGCTGTCACCACAGTTACTTACAATCAATAGTCTGAATATTCTGCATTAATTTTATAGGGAATCCCCATTGATTTATAATAATTTTCCATGAATACATCACCTGATGATTACAATGATAATTATGTGGCTACTGTGAATGCGAACCAGTTTGTGTATTATTTAACACAAGGAAAACGTCAAGCATCAATGCTACTCCTCCACTGTAGATCGTGTTTAATCACTATGCAATCTGTCGACGTATCTGTCAGTCTATGCTATCAGTAATCTTGACAAGCAGTAAATTGTTTTAATCTCAGGCAACTAGTTGACTACTGATTTTTTTTGCTTCACCATGGTCAAGGTCAAATATGTGGGTGCAAATTCTAATACTACTCTCATAATGAACACTCTACAATAATTTCTAGGATATTCTGTCAAAACGGGACGCCTGGAAGCAGTAAAGAAATTGAGCTACCGTCGAACATTTTATAGAGTGTCAAAGTTTTAAATTGAAATAATTTGCTTATAAGAGATAAATGTCCCCCATTGAAGACATCCTTATCAGCGCAAAGTTTCTTCAACAAACTTGCTCACTCCCGTTGTTTTTTCCCGTGACGCTAACTGCCTGCCAGCTCGTTCTATCCAGCGCAAACTTAATCCAAGTTTAATGAACAATACGACAGGCCCTTAATCAAACTTTAGACTTCCTAACTTTTCCCTCATACAATTTAGAACTTTAAATCATCCTGCAACGAGTTTAGATTCTTCTGCAGGTGTGAATGCAGATAAGTCATTTTGTTATTCAAATTCTCAGCTGGAGAAAAACCTATTTAGCCGAGTTTGATCGTATTATTTGTTTCTTGTTTTGCCTTTTAGATTCAGTGTCGGAATAAAGAGAGTTTATTTAAACTGGATCTTATTAAAATTTCGACAAGGTCATTTATAATATTCAGATTTGATAATTCATTTTGATTACGATAGGATTTCAAAGATATTTTGTTTTCGTTTTCAAACGATTTACACGAGGCTATATCATTAAAATTGAGAACAAAAAACACAATTTTAAATTTCGCAGTCCTGTTCCCAATCACATGTTGTGAAGGGGATCGTATAGCCAATTTTCTGTAATGGCGGGTTGCGTTTCCTATCTTTGTTGGACCGAGTGCCGACGTTTTTTGCAAAGTCTCGCCCCTCCCATGCCGAGGGCTGGGTTCGATGAAATTTATGGGGTACACATGTACGTTCGTATTTATATAGTTTTCAAGTTTTTTTTCTTACATTTCTACATCTTATATGTGTTGACGACATCTGGTGATTTATACATAACGTCTATGGAAATGCATATTTATTACACTTGCACTGTTAGTGGCTTCTTTATTATAATTTAATATTAACAATGTCAATACACACCTACATTCATTGTGTTCGCGTCTATGTTATAGCAAGCTCCTCAAAGCCGCGCACAAGTTTCTGACGCGGGTACGTCATCGTATGTCAGACGTTTGACAGCTGACACCACTCTCGCCTCCCTGTTGCCTCCCACGCCCCTCCTAGGTGACGTCACCCATCAAAGGGATTCATTCTGGATAGAAACTCTATGTCTGGAAAGATTTAAATTATGTAGTAACTGGATCCAAGTCATCCCAGTACGTAAGTAGTAATCATTCTTTCGTCAGTTTTATTGTCACTGTCCTTGAGTACTTACATATCGAAAGATTGTATGATGTGATAATTATACTTATCTGTTATCTAAGTTGTATTTTCAGAGTTCTCTTTAGGTTTTGTCATCTAGAACAACAATAACTGTACAAAAAACATATTACGTTAGTGTTTTAAAAGAACCACTATAAGTAAGTGTAGTAAGTACATATTAAGGTGCTTGTTTATTGTAAAAGCCACTGCTTCTAGTTCCAATATTTTCAGATGTACTTGCCAAGATTTATATGGCATCTTCTACCACAGCCAAAGTTCATATTTTGCCATTTTATGTGTATGTATGCCTCACAAAAACGTCAAATGTTACAGCGTCGAGGGGGAACGTTTGGTATTCTTGACAAGACCAAGTGCTTCGACGTAAGTCCTTACGACGTTCAGAGTAACTTCGACCATAGTGTAAGTGACTTAGGGATTTTTGTGGTTTGTTGCTGCTTTGTCGGTTATGGTGGTTTCCAGTTGAGTGAGCAGATGTTTCATTAATCAGCGAACAGTCGCGACAGTGCAGCAGCGCTGGCGTCGCGGTTCAATTTTTTTCCTCTTGCGCCCTTAGATTGGATATTGGACACGATTTCCTGGGAAACTTGGCAGAGACTGGGTGGTCGCTAATCAATAGTACTACGTATCTATTACTCATGATATGTACTGAGACAGATAATAATTCATTATTTCCTTCCTTTTGTTTTTGTTTATTCTTTCCATAATTCAGTTATTCACAGGATGTGTTAATAATGAAAACATTTAAGCGTCATTGTGTCTGTCTAACTGTCATAAACATGTATAGCTTTGGGAATTTATGTGAAAAAAATTTTTCGAAATAGACTTACAAGATCACTCTAAGTAATTCTCTTATAATTAAAATCATATTACATTTATCCTATGCAACCACTACCAATACCAATCAGTACATACGTAAATAAACAAAAACATCAATCAATATATCAACAAAACAACAAAACAACTTCACAAATTAAACATTTCATCTCTCAACAGGACCAC